TTATTTACGAAACTTAACTACAGTACAGAAATAAGTTCAGTACTATAGATGTTTGATCAGGAGCACATAATTACAGTATAAATCCAAAATTTTCCAAAATAAATATGAATTACAATAAATATTTCTTTTCTTATCTAAGATTTTAGCTTTATTTTTTTTATCTGAAATAAAGCAGTAAACCCTCTGATTTTAGGTGTCGGTACACACAGCAACAATAGCCTTGATGGTAACATTTAAATAATACTGCTAGATCATCATTAGAAAGGCAAGTGGTTACTAGTCAATAATCAATTTTTGAAAAAAAGCTTAAAATATCTATTTTTCAATATATTAATATAATACAATCTCTCATATTAGATTTTTTATTGTTGTTTTTATATTGTCAATGTTACAGTATTGTTATTGATTTATTACTATTATTATATTTTATTGTTATTATTAGCACTCTTATTTAGGCCAATTTCCTTCCATTATTATCATATTTATTATGAGTCTGATCATTATTTACTATGTTATTCTAAGAATTGATTGCATTCTTTTTATTGGTTTAATGTTTAGATATGGGAATGTCAGCATATTTCTTCTATTTCATCTGTGTATTTTATATTTGTTTGTTGAGGACCATATGGTGAGCTGTAGAGCTACTGTATCCTCATTGAATAAAGTTTTTAAAAAAATAACTAAATCAATTAATAAAAAGACAAATGATCTATTAATTGTATAGTTATATATACAAAAAACAAAATTCTGCCAGAATATATTTTAAAAGAAAATACATTATTTTGTACTATAGCTTGCCAACAAAATGTATCCTATAAAAGCCTGATCCTATACAGCCTCTGTAAACTTGAATACAACTGAGTCTAACATGTTAAACACTGCAGTACAGTACAGTAGTACATTCATTAAACAACAAAACACATCCACCCTAATATCACACTATTAAACATTCCGCTCTAATGCCTTTTTATTGAACGTGTAGAGCTGCGATGAATTCTTACATGAAAAAACAATCAAAAGATTTTATCCTTCTCTCATAATCAGATGCGCTTCACTATAGGTCAACACTTGTTTTCCCAACGAATAGGAAAAAATGAATTTCATAAATTATCCAACTATGGATATTAACATTCACTGATTTAAGCTGAAGGCTTTTTTGTAGTATTGCACATATTTGAATGTATTGAATGATTGTTGCTAAAATCACTGTACTGTTGTAATAGAAGAAGTACTGTATGAAGAAAAAAATTGTGTTAATTTTTGTAATACTCTCTCACAGAGCTAAGTAAAGTTATTTGATTTCAATGACAGGGGTAAATATATAGCTCTGTGAACCATCGATGTCATCCACTAACTGTCAAAATATTCATTATTGTTTAAAATGTCTTGATATGTAAACCCTAACTTTACAACTGTTTCAAATAAATTATCTTTTGATACTGATTGTTTTATGCAGCTTGCCGATTTCCAAGAAATATCACAGATGTTTTGGCAGGTGTGTTGATGTTGCCTTGATCAGGTGAGATCTGTGTGTGAAGCTACACATCTGCAACTGCATGCTCAACTGATATGATAATAAGGCGAGACATTTTTTTTTACCCTCCGCCCACCAATAATGATGATTTCAAATAAAAATAACATTTCATTTTTGGCCAATTAGCATGCACGCTGTCACGAAAAAATGAAAATTTTAGAAAAAAATAAAAATCTCCAAAATTAAGTTATGTATATCTTCCTAATATAAATTTAAAGCATTTAATCATCATCCTATTACTACACTATTTACATTCACCAATAAAAATTGATTTTTATTTTCTCCTCCATCTGGATGTTCTTCACTAAACTATAAAAAAACAAAATTGTATTTCTTTTTTTTTTTTCGCCCTCTTCTGACGATATTTAACAAAATAAGTTTGCGAAACAAGGTATTAATAAAGTCTCCCATAAAGTGGATTGGTGAACACGGGGCTCATTAACAGCTGCTTGGTAATACACATGATCAGGTATTGGAATTTGTAGTCTCGTAAATTCAAGGAAGGAGTATGGTGGAGAGAAATGGGAAACAGTAGGGGCTGGGTAAAAAATGGGATGAACAAGAAATGGATTTATGGAAAAATTGGCAAAAAAGAAATTTGGGTTTAGGGGTCAATCATAGTTGTTTTCAAATTTGGTAACAGATGTTGTCTGCCAAAGAAAAAAAAATTGGAAAACACCTCAATAACTTTTCAACAGCTCATACTAGGATCAATAAGTTCAAAACTTCCTTATGGAAACAGTTTTTTAAAAATAGGTTTTTATATAATTTACAGATATGTACAAATATTCTTAAATACATTAACATTAAAGGGTATGCAAAAGAATGCAGGAAATTTATTACTGTCCGTTAATTGATGGGGAAAAGTTTCTTGTTAATTTGTTACTTATTAAGTTTACAAATTAGGAAATTTAAATATAGAAATTGAATCCTGAGACAGTACATCATTTAATTATGATAGCAATAATTACTGTATGAACAATCAGTTAAGATACAATATGGTGGTGTAGGCTATTGTAGGTAGGCTACAGTACAATAAAAAGTACATAGAAAGTATAAACATTTTGTTCTGAAATTAGGCCAAAGTACAGTACTGCTATGTTTCTTGAATATATTCAATAATCAGTATGACAAATAAGATGTTGGAACAACCTGTTGGTGTAGCATTGCTAGAAATGCTGGAAAGTGATCATACGTCTACTGATTAGAATTACAGTGATTTAGTATGACTACTTAGATAAAAATTGATTGTTTCATGATAAATATAATGACTTGGAATATGTTTAGAGAGAAATCTTCCGTTAAATCAAATATTGTACATATCGTCATCACTCAAATCGGCCACTATGCAAATATAAATCAGTAACAACAAAGAAACAATTAAATATTGCATAAATGTATTGACTGAAGTGTAACAAATTAAAGTTTAATCAATTTTAACTACTGTAAAGTACTAAAACTTTGAGATTTGTAACCAAGATGTACTTTACATCATAACGACGTCCAATACAAAATACCCTAAGGCCGTGTTCTGCAGCACTTATTACCAGAAAAATTATCAGAAAGCAGCCATTTTGTTATTTTTCGCTGCAAATTTATTGGAGAAATTATAAGTGCTGCAGAAACACAGCCTCATACCATACCGATTATAGGTAGGATAAAAAAACTAGAAATCGCAGTGCTGAATTGAGTACGGGCGTGGTTTGTGACTACTGTACTTTAGCAGCTGTAGAGAGGCACTTATTGGATCAAATCATTCCACATCTGATAAGGGCTGAAATGAACTATAGTATGTGTACAGTCCCTCTCTGAGTGTTGTAGACGAAGTGCTAGGTCTCTGGCGACAACGCATCAAAACACTAACAATCACAGTCACCAAATATTTAGTGTACATAGTGTTTTAGTTGGCAACAGTAATGGGAAATAAAATGTATTAAAAAATATTGAACACAAAATAATTAATTTGACATAAAACATAAAAAACACTTAAACCATCATTGCTAGTACTAGAACAGCAGGACGACGTCAGATGAAAAAAATCGCTCGGATTGACAGACTATACATATTCCACGGAAGGTATAGACGGTTACCACATGGTAAAGTTAAGTAAGTTTACGAAAATGAATAGCGTTGTAACCTACGAATTTAACCTCAAGTGTATCCGTATCATTGTGTGTAGTCTAGGCTAAAGGTAGAGAATACAGTCGTGGTATGAGTTGAGAATTTGTTTGATTATTTTTTACTTTAAAAAAATCATACTACTACGACTAGTATCAATACAAGGAATTAAATAAATCTTTTCCACTGGACTTACTTGTTTATTCAGTAGCAATATTTCGCGTCCAATCTAGGACGCATCATCAGTAGAAAAGATTTATTTAATTCCTTGTATTGATAATATACTTACAGTACCTGGATCAATAACATTATTCAAAAACATACTATGGTTAGTAATAATAATCTGTACTCTAATAATTTCCTACTTTGTACATTTTATTTCCTGATTTTCTGGAAGTTAAACATCGTGGGCGAAACGAATGGCATATGTTGCGATGAGGGGATGGTTATGACTTGGACAATTTAAAAGATGGCGCTACAGTTTCGCATCCGGCCCTGAAAACGGTTACCAAATTATTTAAAACTTACAATTATTCAACACTAACATGTTCTTTGATGATATGACTTTCATATAATCCACTTATTATCTAAGAATTATGGTTTCTAATTAAGTTAACAAATAATTAGGACGGTATATCGTTACTAACACCCAATCGCTCAGCTCAATCAACACAGCACCGCGGTGGTCAGACAACTGGACGCTTCCAGGGCCTATCTATAATTTCTGCCCAATTACAATTTTTGTGACCTTCACTGTTAATTATCAGGATTTCTGGAATCTTGTATTGTTTTGTAGTTCATCTCTTTGTATTGTGTATTTTTTTTGAAAAAAATCTTCTCAGTGACAATGTTGTATATGCTAGTACCTGTAAGACTAACTATTTGTTGTGGGCTGTGGTCTGTATGTATGAAGATGTACTGAGTACACGACAAACAAGTTATAAAGTAGGCTACTACTGCTGACTATCATCAATCACGCCAAAAATAATATTTTAATACCGGTAATCATGCCACCACCTAGGAATAGGGTCCTTTCTTTCGTATCCTAGGCTCGGCAAAACCTTCAAAAACAGGCTCCCACAACTGAACAGGAAGCATTTTAACATGGAGTTCCTGTGAAGAAAAATGGCTACTTAAGCTATTAATATTATTATAACCCACTGAGATCCTCAAAGGAGAATGCACATTCGTATATTATTATTACATATTTATTTAACTTGTGAGGTGCAAAATTGCACTGCAATCAAAGCAGAAGAACCTCTTGATCTGCCACTGTGCAACCAACTCGACGCACACCGATTTATCAATATCAATCAGAGAGCACACAACAAACTAGTGTAAAACTTACATTTAAATGTGTGAAATTCAAGAAAAATATTCCTTCACAAGCAGTAAGTATTCCTCCCAAAGATGACAGGAATCAACAAGCGAGTATCAATAACCAATTTGATGCCGACGCCAAACAGATATCGCCTGCTTGACGAATCGTGTGTGATGTGTGTGGTGTTGAAAAAGAAGACCTTGTATTGACCTATAACCTTTTTGGTCATTTACTAACACAAACTATAGAGGGAGCACTTTTGAAAAAATTTACACTCACCGAGCAATGTATAATAAAATATAAAATTGCTCTATAATTGAAAATGAACACCATAAATCATATCCTAGGCCTATAGAGAATTATGGTGACGTTAGTTCTAATAATAATGGTAATAAAAACGTGTCCTAAATGGGAAAATACCAAATCCAAGGGTGATACCACTTGGCCTTGAACGGTAATCGGAGATCTTGGGTTCGAATTCCGATGGGGACACGTTTTTTCTCAAATACTTATTATTTTGTCACAACATATACAAAGAATGTATAATAACATAACGTAAACTATATATTAAACACATCATACAAGACGAGAACAATCAATTTCGCTCGTATAGTTAAAGTGGGTCACCACATAGTCTAGGTTTCCATTTCCATAAACCGCTCACTCTCTATCGGCGACAGTTGTCGGGAAGGTTGAACCTGGTTCAACTTTGCCGATTTCGGAAGGAAACCGAGCTTGCCGCGGAAAAGCTTTAAAACGCGGTAGGCTTACTTGTTTAAAATTTTAAGTACCCGAAAAGAATACCGTACTGTAAATTCTGCTGCAATCTCGTTTTTCTTAGAGCTTACAATAACCTTATAAACATTGGTGATGAAGGCAGGGGCTGTAAAATAAGTTAGTAAGATATTTTCTTAAAAACGGGGATTTTTGAAATGTAAAATACACAATCCACAAAAGTTCAATTCGAATACTTATTATCAGCCGGTGGTATCGGGCAGACACGCGGGCGGGCAGGCACTATAGAAAACTCTGGAACGTACC